GTCGGGTGTCCTGGTCGAATGGTAATTCTTGACGATCAATTCCCGCGCTGTCAAACTATTATTGTGGTGGAATTTAATCGGGGCAGAGGTAATTATAACGGGGCGCAACGATTGAAACAGGGGGAGCGCGCGTCCCGTTTTTCGCAACGTAGGGAGAACCCTGGGCTGAAGATGTACTAATGTTGTTCTTTACGGGTTGTAGATTTACATGAAGCAGTTATAGTGTATGATTTTCCTGGTAACTGACAGGCAAATGGCCAACCTGCCAATTGCCATGGCTGCAACTAAATGTTGTTTCAAGGTTACTAGTCTTTACACATCTCATATACACACTCGGTAACTGTCATGGTGCTCCTTGATGCAGTGGTGCGGGATGTAATGTATTTATATGTAATAATATGTGAAATGATAATATATGAATATAAGATATTGATAATATAATATAATAATATAAAATATAGCATATTAATTATCAATTATATAATGTTCCATATCCCTGTTTCCCGGTCCCTAGGTTCCCCAGTCCCTATGTCCCCCTGTAACGACCATGTTACAAGGCACTCCCCCCCCCCTCACACGCGACGCGGGCTCGCCGCGTTGCTACAGGCGGTCGACAGAGGCATTGATTCTACGGTGTTGCCCCTAGCAACCACAGGCGATCAATACGGCCTGCGAGCTGAGCAGTCAAGATGGCGGCCCGCCGTCGCCACGACATGCCGCTGCAGTGCCGCTGTCACAGCACCCACGCCGGCTGGTTGGGGATTAACTTCACCCTCCCAATTAGCGGTGCGTACGTGTCGTGATTAGTGGCGGCAGCCCTGGCATGAAGGCGAGACCCGGTGATGCCCCGCGGCTAACGCGATGCGACTTTAGAACCGCTCGACCGTGGAGTGTCACAGGGTGGTGGGATTAGCCAGATTAGATGTGCTAAATGCAGCGTGAAAAGCTCTCAACGCTCGAGGCAGCGGCCATATTGAGCACCCGTGACGCATCCGCGCGAATAGACGGCGCCACCTCCTGGACGGTGGTGCTACAGAATAGCGGATCTTCAGCGTTAGGAGCCGCCACCGTCCAGAGCTAAGGTGTTGAAGCCAGGTGAACGCGGATGAGTCGGACGCGGTGGTTAGCGCGCGCGGCGCGTACGTGAGCATGCGCCGCGCGCGTGGCAGCGCCTATAAAAGCCGCTGCACAAGCGGATTCAAGGAATGCTCCCTCAACACCGGACACGACCGCTTGTGCTTCATACCATTGTAACGGATCAGTGTCGAAATTAAACCTGCAGTCATGGTATATATTCTTTGACTCTGCTCTTTGTCTATGTCTTTTGGCTACGAGTACGACATACCAATATACAACTATACCGTAACGTAAAACACTGCGTTACATATTTGATGCCGCGAGAGTGGGCGTTTCTGGGCTTATTGTGAGCATACCCACGGTGCTATCCACTACTACGTATCACGTACCGTCATCACAATAGCATCGTGTTATCATCACTATATTTTCACCCACCGCCGTGACTGACGATTTCATAACCACGCCGTACCGTGGTCGGGTATGTGAAACTAACCTGCTGCAGGTTTAGCTAAGAGATATTCTAATTTAGTTACTTACTACCTTATATCATAGCTTCTAATTCACTGCTTCTATATCACTGTTTCTAATTTACTGCTTCTATATCACTGTTTCTAATTTACTGCTTCTATATCACTGTTTCTAATTTACTGCTGCTATATCACTTGCTTCTTCATAGTCGCCCTTGCTGACATGTGCGCGTCTTGTACGAATGTAGTGTACACTCATACAGCTGGAATTGCTAATTGCTGTTATTTCGCTCGACTATTCAGTGATCTCTAGTGTGTGTACGCCTGTGCGTGCGTCTGTACGCCTGTGCGTGCGAGTGGACGCCTGTGTGTGCGTGTGTACGCCTGTGTGTGCGTGTGCGTGCGCGTGTATACGCTTGCAGCGCGTCTGTGCTCGTGTGCGTGTGCGTGCGCGCGTGTGCGCTTGCGTCTGCGTCACGTGTGTGCGCCTGTGTGTGCGTGCGCGTGTATACGCCAGCAACGCGTGTGTGCGTGTGTGCGCCTGCGTGTGCGTGCGCGTGTGTGCGCCTGTGCGTGTGTGCGCGTGTATACGCTTACAACGCGTGTGTGCGCGTGTGCGCGTGTGCGTGTGCGTGTGCGTGCGTGTGAATACGCCTGCAACGCGTGTGTGCGCGTGTGTGTGAGCGTCTGTGTGTGTGTGTATACGCCTGCAACGCGTGTGTGCGCGTGTGCGTGAGCGTGTGTGTGTGTGTGTGTGTGTGTGTGTGTATACGCCTGCAACGCGTGCGTGCGCGTGTGTGAGTGTGTACCTGCTTCCGTAACGCGTGTGCGCGTGCATGTGTGTGTCTGCTGGGGACAGCTTTAACCCCCCTTGTGTCTGCCGGGGACAGCTTTAACCCCGCTTTCCCAATGGTAAGGCTTCACAATACGACATCGCAGATCTGGCACACGTATTCAGCGAATCGTTATGCCCAACCATTGAATCAGCAGCTGCTACATTCCAACATGGACTACGTGTCGCCGAAGCTTGGACTTTAGTTCCGCGATTCACGGGCGATAACGTGCCACTTTCGATTACGTTCGACGACTGGCTCAGCACTTTGAATTGGAGACAGTTGGAATTGTGTCTCGTCGCTACGTTGTTGCGCGTGTTTGGTTTGGTCGACGCTCGGAGGACACACTGCTGAGATTTCTCATCGCCTCCTTCTTGAGAGGCCTACTATGACTTGGGAACAGATCACTGAACAGCTGACTAAGCGCTTCCGCGATCCGCTGCGTCAAGTAGACGCGCAGAATGCGCTCAAGAAATTCCAGCAGAATAGTGGCGAAAATATCCGCCCGTATGGAGACAGGTTATTGACTCTCGCGTTGCAAGCGATTCCGGTCGAGCAACTTTCGACTGCTGAGATGCAGGCCCATCTCGTCGACATTTTTTTGGATGGACTAAGATCGGCCCATACACCGCGACTGTTGCTTCATCGCAACCCTACAACGCTAACTGACACCATTGACCTTGCAGCGGACGAACACGTACTAGAGTCATCTCTAGTGGCACGACGACAAAACCGTAACGACGCGTTCGCTGATCCCTACGACACGACAGAACCTATGGATGTCAATACCATACTACGCCCTACGCCATCGGAGCATCTGCTTAGAGAGGTGCGCAGCTTGCGTACACTCATAACTCAGACCGTGCCACATGTTCAGTCGCCCTCAATGAATGAGTCATCACGAGACATGACACGACAACCCCCGTGCCAACAACGTTCACAAGCGCTCCCACCCCGCGACGTTCAGCTCAGACCTTGCAAATGGCAACCCCCTCCCTCCCCACACGACGCGACCAGCGTCCACCTGTTCGTAATCAGGCTTATCTGCCACCTGCTTCGCGCCAACGCGCCCCATTTTAACCATCAGCGTCGGCACCTACCCAAGACCGACGCAACACTTGTTGCTATGCGTGCAGCCAACTACGTCACTACACGCGTGACTGCCCTCTCCGCCGCCGATTAGAGGATTTTCGCCGACGCCCCCGCAACGCAATTGCACCGCCTCACCCTCACAACTTTTAGGCACGCATGAATCTGCTGCATGCGGAGCACCGGCTACCGCTACATCTTCAGCGCCAACGTGCGGCGTTAAAGTCGGCTTACTCTCACTCACAGCCCTCATTGATACTGGTAGCGATTGTACGCTTATCGATTTTGCTGCATGGCTCCACTTACCCCAGCACATACGGACGGCTGCTAGTTTCAACGCCATCTGCGCATCAGACGCCATGCTTCTTTCTGTCACAGCTACACCTTGTAGGCGCCGCCACTTTGCGCATTCTACTGGGACGGGTAACCACCCTCCATAGGTGGTACATAGTTCAGGATTTAAGGCAACAATTCATAATCGGAGCTGACTTTCTATCGGCTAACCGAGCAAACATTGATTTTGACAGAGGAGTGCTCGCACTAGGTAATAATGTCGTCACTTTGAAACTCCGTCGAGGTAGACGACCTTTCCCCACCCCTCAACTAGCTTTCATTCATCGTCCGACCGTGTTGCCCCTCAATCGGGCCAACAGTGTTTCTGTCGCGTCCCCCGCCATTTCCGCCCGGGTACGCTACTCTTTGTTAAAGGATCTCCAGCCTTTAAATTGTTTCGTAGTAACCCCCACCTCATCTTATTGCCGTCTCTAGTCGAAGTCACAGAGCAGCACACAATTCTTTGCCGGCTAGAAAATCGCTCAGATCGAGCAATCTCGTTACCTCGTAATGCCGTTGTGGCAATAGTTGAAGCCACCACCCCTCCCCACATACAAGTTATTACGTCCACGCCTAACGAGGCCGGTGTATCAGCACATGATGGTGCGACCCCGCCCTTTGATTATAATTTACTCGTGAATCACGTTCACGATTCTCGCCATCGGACAACGCTTCTAAAATTTTTACGCCAGCATGAAAGCTCATTTGCGCATACAGATGCTCAACTAGGGTGTACGCACCTTTGCGAATTCCAGATTTATATCGGAGATGCTCGGCCGTTCAAAACAAGGCCCTACCGCATGGCTCCAGAGCAACAAATCATTGTTCAGCAACAGGTTGACAAACTCATGCAGAATGGGACAATTCGCCCCTCCATGTCACCTTGGTCATCCGGCGTACTTTTGGTTAAGAAAAAAACAGGCGAGTATCGAATGTGTGTCGACTATCGACGATTAAACTTGGTTACCGTAGGGGACACTTACCCTTTGCCCCTCATCGAAGATGTGCTACAAACAATAGGAAAAGCTACAATGTTTACTACCCTCGACCTTAAGAGTGGTTACCATCAAATCCCCTTAGCGGAGAAGGACGTTCCAAAGACTTGTTTTGTAACGCACTCCGGAAGCTACGACTATTTAAGGACCCCATATGGACCAAAGATAGCACCCGCCCACTTTCAACGTATCCTCGATTACGTCCTGGAAGGACTTCGTCACAAATGTGCACTCGCCTACATCGATGTCTGTATTTAATATTTATTCACCAGACTTTGAAACCCACATGTCCGACTTGGCAGAGGTTTTTGCCAGATTTGACGCAGCTAACCTCAAGATGCGCCCCAGTAAATGTGCGTTTCTACGCCAGTCCATCAATGGGGATAGCCGCTAGAAACAGTTGCCGCTGGAGGGCTGCACATCTGCAGATTATCCGCGCACCCAGATGCACACCCGGGATAGAGTGGGGGAAGTGGGTGTTTATTCTTTTGTGTGTGCTGAGGAGTTATGTAATATGTTTATTGAGATTCACGGTAATATTAGTGGTGCATATGTGAGTGCCGTGTTTATTCTTTTGTGTGCTGCTGCAGAGTTATGCTAATTATGTTTATTGCAGATTTTATGTATGTAGGTACATGTATGACCTGCAGAAGAGCCCCCTACTGTCGTACACCACCTATATTTGCGCTGACAATATATATGCGTGTAATGTTGTTCATTTTTTCATAAAAGCACCAAAATTGGTACACATGTTGACTAGTGTATTCTGAACAATTCTAGATATGGAGCCACTCGAGATTGTGCCTTGGTCAGTTTTGGCGGCCATTTTCCAAAATGGCCGCCATTCTACTTTAACCACATGGGATATCTGCCATTTTTATTCTCTTTGCAGGTTTCTTAGAAGTAATAAATACTCCATGTGATGTGCAATTACAAATGAAAACAATACACAGGTCATTTGTTTTGATTTATTATATTTCCAACCATTGTTTTTACAAATGAAACATTGTAAAATTCGAATATTGTAACAACGGTCATTTGTATTTGCAACACAGCATCGGTGACAGGTTCAGAATTATTTTGTTGTGATGGTAGTAGTGATGGAAGTGGTGTAGTAATTTGTAATAGTGGTGTAGTAGTAGTAATTGTATTATTGTGGTAACAAGGTGTTTTATGTCTCTGCATAATATGGAGTGATCATCATCAAGAGCGGAGTCAACACGAGCGGGAGTGACCATGTCTAATAAGTTCCAGCTAGTGTATTCTTACATGGACCGTACGTCTGTTGGCCCGTCCTACACAAACTGGGAACTGTGCGCCATATGCCAGGAGGATACAGCAGAGTCCCTTGTTTGCCCAGCAAATTCGAAACGCCCAAACATCGGGAGTGCGTACAAGACACTGGCCGGGAATCTGATGCAGTTTGGAGAAGTGAGCTTATTACCCATAACGCTGCAGCTTGATAGACTTGATGAAGGAGAGGGCATCGAGGCCACATTGGTTGCCTGCAAAGCTGTATATCATAAACGATGCATGCTTCGTTATAATACTACAAAGTTGCAAAGAGCACAGAAGAGGCCAGCAGGAGGTAGCTCATCTGGTGTAGGCAATGCTGTGCCAGGAAAGTGCAGCAGGTCACGCAGTGGAGAATCAAGTACCTCTAGTCAACACTCTGCGGAATGTCTGGTGTGGACACCTTACATGAAGCCACCACCTTCAAGGTTGATCAGCGTGTGCGGCAGTGTGCAACACAAATTGGAGACCACGAACTGCTGGCACGGCTCAGAACACTTTGCAAAGCCTGTGAGTAGTTCACCTTGCTCGAGCTGCACAGATCGTTCGTCGATACATGTTTGGGGACGCTAACTTATTCACTGTATCATTCAAGGAAGGCTGCCAGCAGGAGGCTGTGCCACCTGTGCTACTTACAGTGGTAAATATATTGCTGCATGGACCCAACATCAAGAATCAAATGGATGCTCTTTCAACACAGGCAGCTTCGTCCATTGCACAACTACTGAAATTCAACGGTGTCAAGTATCAGCTGAAGCAGAAAAGAAGTACCTCTCCTGTGGGTACAAAGACGCAAGAACATCCATCTGTCAGACATGCCACATCTCGAGAAACTCCTCTGCCAATGTACATTGGTCTGGTGCTGCACGCTGAGACTCGCAAGAGGGGACTAGTGGACAAGCTCTTCAGCCTGGGTCTCAGCATCTCATACGACCGTGTCCTGCGCCTTTCTGCAGAGATGGGAAACCGGGCGTGTCAGCTGTTCCAAACAGAGCAAGTGCAACACTGCGTGTAATGTGTTTACGACCGCAGCTGTGGACAACATCGACCACAATCCTAGTTCCACAACAGCAAAGGATTCGTTCCATGAAACAGGGATCTCTCTCATGCAACACCCAATGTGTACAGATGGAGGAGTGGAGCGTGGGATTGTCATCACTGGCGAGCCTGCTGTATTAAGGACTGTTGACCATCTATCTAAGTACTACACTGAGGTACCACCCGTTGCTTCCACTGTCAAGGGCTCAACAGTACCGGCCACCTCCGTGACTTCTCTGAAACGGGACAGCTTCGCAGAGCATAAGGAGAAAGTGTATGAGTGGCTGGAGAACCTGCGAAGTGCGCTCGAAGTTGGAGATGTGACCACAGACGAAGCCTATCAGAAGACATCATGGGCTGCATACAATGCCAGCCACCAGGAGCCAGGTCAAGCTATCATCACGCGAACTTCACTGCTTCCTCTATTCCATGAGAATGCACACACGGTCGCAATGCTCAGACACTCCATGGATGTGGTTAGAAATGCCATTGAGCATCTCAACCCGGGCCAAACGCCTGTTGTGGCTTTCGACCAGCCACTGATGGCTCTTGCGAGGCAGATACAGTGGAAGTGGCCCAAAACACATGGTGAAGACAAACTGGTGGTGATGTTCGAAGGCCTGCATATCGAGATGGCAGCATTAAAGACACTAGGTGACTGGTTGCAGGGAAGCAGGTGGACACATGCACTTGCACAGGCAGTGATAGCTACTGCAGGAACCGCGACTCCTTTCTTCGGGCCTCGCACGTCACACGCACAAGAAGGGCACACCATGTCACAGCGGCTGCCTTGTACATACTCCAACGACGTGCATACGATAAGCACAGCGCCAGTGCAGAAGATGACCATCCTCCCGAGGATTTCGAAGACTGGTGCCATGAGAAAGAGAAGAGCTCTCCCCAGTTTTTGTACTGGGCAACAGTCCTGGATCTGGAGCTCTCCATCCTAATCTATGTGCGATCTGTGAGAGAGGCAGATTTTAGCATGTACTTGGATGCTCTAACTGAGATAGTCCCATGGTTCTTCGCGCTGGACCATATAAACTATGCCCGGTGGATACCGGTCCATCTGCGTGACATGGCAGAACTCCACAACAGCACCCAGAGATCTACAATGTTTTCAAGGCAGGCCACTTCACATTGCAAAAGACAAAGAGGGCATTCTCAGAAATTCCTCTTGACCAAGCGCATGCACATAATAATGTCCGTGTCAAGGGTGACGGAGGTGCCGATGGCCTTACAGACAATCGCAGTGCTCTGAGGCGCTGGATGGTCGCCGGACCAGAGGTGGCCAGAGTGATCATGGAGTTTGAGGAGGCAAACATGTATCCAAACGCCAATGAACGCCAATCCTTAACCCCATTGAATGTGATGAATATCATTTGACTCATGTTCTCCAATAATGGGTACTTTTCAGCAAAAAGTTTCAGGAGAGCAGCCATTTACAAATCAAATAATGGCTTTTTTATCGAAAATACTGGCTCATAAAATTTGAATACGCCTTTTCATGGTCAGTTTACTTAATTATACACGTAACTTATATCTACCACCAATACAATAACAAATAAGAGCATATAGCCCATTTCGCTAAAGTAGAATAGTGGCCATTTTGGAAAATGGCCGCCGTAGCTGTCCAAGGCACAATCTCGGGTGGCTCTATATCTAGAATTGTTCGGAATACATTATTCTACATGTGTACCAATTTTAGTGCTTTTATGAAAAAATAAACAATTGATCTGAAATATCAGACTACGCTGCAGGACTGCACGTTCGTGCGTGGGTGTTCACGTCCACGTCTGTGCGTTCGTGCGTGCGTGTGCACGTACAAGTGCGTGCGTGCGTGCGTGCGTGTGGTCATACATGTACGTGCATGCGTGCGTGTGTGCGAGGGTGTGCACGTCTACGTGTTTGCGTGCGTGTGCACGTACAGGTGCGTGCATGCGTGCGGGCGTGTGGTCATACATGTACGTGCATGCGTGCGTGTGTGCGAGGGTGTGCACGTCAGAAGTCCCACTTAATGGCAGAGACGGTTTTGAATAATATCGGATCTACGGAGGATTTATGTGATAGGATCATTGTCTAAGCAAGACATTTAAAATATTAAGCAGAGCCTCCGCCCCATCAGAAGATTTCTCCGCGGTGGCAAAATTGTTAAGGTGTGCTTTCATTGATTTCAACTTTAGGCGAGCTTCATTGTCAGCAGTAAGTGCCTAGTGTTCTGAGTAATCATCTCTCTGCTTTTCCTTCCTCTCCGTTTGGTTTGTGGTTTTCTTGGGGGCGGGGGCGGTCGCCGCGAGGCGGGGCCGGGGGGCGGGCCGCGGGGGCGGGGCCTGGGGGCGCGGGGGGGCGGGTGGGGGGGGCGGCGCGCAGGGCGCGGCGCGGCGGGCACGGGGGGCGGCGCAGGGCGCGGCCCGCGCCCGCCCGGGGGGCCCCGCGGCGGCGGGGGCCTCCAGCGCTCCCAGCCCGCCCAACCCCCCTCAATCCCCACTGACACCACTCGCCACCCGCCCGACCGTCATTCAATCTCGGCGGCGCGCCCTCAGCACTCCTCCGGCCGCCCCTCCCGCGCGCCGCCGCACAGTTGTCAAGCTCGCCCAAGCTCCCACCTACCTCCTTAACACTTGTCGCCAATATAAATTCCTCTCCAGACCAGCCCCCCACCCCCCCCCCCCCCCCCGGGCTATCGGCTGTCGCCCTACTAAACCGCGCAACGGTGACTCGCTTTACCACCTACTACCTCCTTGGCCATGTCACCTTACCTCATCTACTTTGCCTTTGCAGCTCGATCGCATGAGCCCGTCTATTCTCTCTCTCTCATCACCAACACCCGCAACACTGCCGGCCTCGACCTACGATTACTGACTGTCGCGCTTCCCCCACCCCTCACCGCTGAACAACTATCTGAGGCGCACATCTGCCCCTCACACTCCAGATTTAGACACTAGACGCATCCTGCCACTCAAACGCCAGCGCCCCGCCTATAAAACCAAGTCTTCCTTCTCTACTCCTATCACCGCCCTCTTCTGATCTCCGACATGTCCTTCACCGTCCCTCTAAACCGCCGCACTTGTTACGCGACCACAGTCGGCCGTATTCCACGCCCCCAAGCTTCCTCTACTGTTCCTCCCTCCTGCTCCGTCGCCGTGGGTGGAGGTCACAATCCCAACCCCCAAATCCCCGGTTCACTCCCCGGTAACCTGCTCGCCCAAATGTTTTAGTAATGTGTTACGAAGAATAGGCGCATTTAGTCCTCGGTTTCAGTCTAGACTCATTCGATTTAGATATCCTTTACTTGTTGCAGCACGGTGTGTAGCTGTACTGGCAGTCCTGGTTGTCTACCAGAAAAACGTCGTCATTAGTTCACAAATATATTGTAATACGATAGCTCTAGAAACCGGTGACAACTTTACGACAATTACGCTTCAGTTCTCTTTCGGAACGCATTCGCCTTCTACCTGCTGCATGTGATTTTCTACGTCCTCGCTATATCGTCTAAGTTGGTGGCCTAATCTCCGTACTGAATCTGTTAGCAACTCGAGGAGCGGTTAAGATTCCAATGGCAACTTAGCCAGGGACTACTTCGAGCATAATAATAGTAATCAAAAATGGCGGGAAAATAAGTATTAATTATAATGTTCCATGGTATTTCCCCAGTCTTTTGCTTCCCTACAAGCATTGTAGTATATTTACGTGGAACAAAATGTGGTGCGGGTTTTTCTTAAAACAGTATTATATTATGCGATCTATTCATATCAGTATGTGTACGTCAGAAACTCATATAACCTGTACTATAGTGTGTAACAGAGTGAAGCCAATGGCGATGTCAAACGTTTCTTTTCTCTGCGGATGCCAGCATTCCTGTATCAGGTGTCGTCAACTGTAAAGTTGTGGGTGTAGTGGATGAGAGGTGGTGTAAGGCGACGAGTAGAATGAGTGTCTCGATCAGTGTCTCTCTTGGCGCCATTAATAGCAGGAAACTTCTCATACGTCAGAGTAACCTTCCCTCCAGGTCTACGCGGCTAGATTTTTTAATCCGTTCACGTCCGTTCCAGGTGTGATTCCCAAAATTAAGTGATGGCGGACTGTAAATGAGAAAAATAGCTTGCTGGCAGTCGAGTGTAGTTGTGGTGGTATTGGCCGGGTTGTAACAGCTTATTGAGCGTTTATTATTCGCCTGATTGTGTGAGTGAGTAGAGAGAAGTCACTATTTTTTAATAAATCCAGAGAGACTTAGATTTAACTCACAACAGCATCATAGGACATATACCTGGCTGCCAATAGCTCGGCTAAGTTTAATCATGAATGCGAATCTCTTCTTATCAATTTTGTCCACGTGGTTAGGAGATATAATTTCCATTCTGAATATCGGTTGGCCTGGTCTACTTTTCTACTCATTTATTATAATGTTCCATATGCCTTTTATAAAGATCCTAAAATGCATCCATACGTTATACATTAAAACCTCGTAGATGCGAATACTGTCAATATCCCTAAAAACTGTCCTGCATTAAGTGGGATTATTCATCTGAGCATTGAGCGTGTTAATCATGCACATTTAAGCGTCAACATGCAGTCTCCCTTTCTCTTCGTCTAAAAAATAAGACTATTTAATGCAAACTCATATGAAAATATGTATTATAAAAAATGCGTGGTGGCAAATGGGCATACACTCGGAGCTAATCTAATATAACAATAATAAAAGCATGTACGAATGAATGCCGAGTGAGTTAATATAGCCAAGTACCTAGATAGAGTCTACCCAATATACTGCGAAGTACCTTTCTGTATCTGTAAGAGGACACCTGGCTCGGAATCAGTGGCTTTAGCACAATTTAAAGAGTCGCTGACTGAGCGACCTTGCCCACTGGCAACTGTGGCTCCTATCTATAATATGCAG